CATCAGCAGTAGACTGGATGAATTAATTGTGCTACATTTATCAAAAGGAATATTATACAGCAATAAACATGAAGAACCACATAATTTGGTTGAATTTATCAAACATAATATCTAGTAAAAAAGAGTAGGCATAAACAATTATATTACCATAAAATTCCATGTATATAAAATTCAAACCCAGGCCAAATGAATGTAGGTGTTAGAAACCAGAAAAATAGTCACCCAACTGGTTGTAAGGTGAGCTATGATTAGAAAGAATGGAGAAGCTTCCAGGGTTGTGGCATTGTTCTATCTCCTGATCTGAGAGTTCATTACATTATTTTGCCCATTTTGTGACAATGCACTAATTATACATTTGGAATTTAAGTATTTTCATATTTCATTCAAAAACCTACATTAAAATGAAAGGTTCAGGCCAGTCTCAGCTCAGGGGTAAAGCCCTTGCCCCGTAGCACAAGCCTGGAGGAATGTGTTTTTACCCAGCTTACCTAGAATGCCCCAAGTTATTCCTAGTCAGTGCTGCTAGAAAGGCATGCACAGTAAAAGAAAGCAGAGTTGGCAACTCGAGGCAATTTATCCTAGTGACTCCAATACTGTTCCTGGCAATCCCATTACACATAACGGCATTAGAAAGGTTGATGGTATAGTAGTCTGCTCCGGTGGCCATAACTAAATAACTTACACTGGGTGCTTGAATGACAGACATTTATTTTTCATATTTCTGGAGGCTGGCAGTTAGTGGTCAGAGCACCAGCATGACTGGTTCCAGTGAGGACTCTCCTCCTGGCTTGCAGATGACCGCCTTCTTGTGCTTTCACATGAAGCATGGGGGGGGGGGCACTTTCTCTTCCTCTTCCTCTTCTTATAATGTCACGGTTCTTTCGGATTGGGATTAGGACCCTACCCTTATGACCTCATTTAACCTTAATTACCTCCTGAAAGCTCCATGCAGGCACAGTAATATAAGAAGTGAGGGTTTCAACATATGAATTATGGTGAGTCACAATTCATTCTGCAGCAGGTGGCCATGTATTCCATCGTACAGCATAGGTTATGATATTTAATAGAGTCTTTATCTCTCTACACAGCAGCAGGCACACTCTTATTTAGAGCTTCCTTTGTTCTGCTTTGTAGATGCTTTGTAGAACAGTTGGTTGTGCAACTATTTCCTTTTCTCAACAAAACTGAGTCCTCTTGAGGGCATTTCTATAGTATAGTACTTTTGTTGTGTTTTCTCTAAAGTATTGTTTTTGCTCTTTGCACAATACTTTATATAAGTATGGATTCTTAATTAATGTTTGTTTCATATTGGAACTGGAGGAAGTGTTTACACTTTTTACTGTTCTACTTTTATTTGTGTATTTTAATTAAAGAGTAAATGGGAGGTTTGAATTCTCTTCAACCTTTCTCAGAAATCTAGAGAGGAAGCATGCAGAGGACTTTATGGGGATGTTGGTGATGTTCTGTTTCCTAACCTGACTGGCCAGTATACAGTGATGTTCACTTTCCTGTATATACCTTATCAGTCACCGCACTTATTATATGCAGACCTTTATATGTCACATGCTGACTGCAACATGTAACATATGTCTATGCCATGCATACATATCATATATTGTATTGATAATGTGCTATGTTGCTGTGAGTTTTAAGAAATGATTATGCTCATATATAACTTGTTAGAGCAAAAATTAATACAGTCTCCTTGGGCCAAGTTATGAAATTGGGCCAAGTTATGAAAATTGAGGAGACATTTACCTTTTGCCTGAGCAATGGCTAATGTAGAAATGAACCATTAAAGCATGTGAAAATTTGTATCTTCCAGGTCATTCACTGCAGTGTTTTTCATAATAATAAATTTTAATAACAGAAGAAAGAATAAATAAATCGCATATTACACAGGATCTTCAGGTTGAAAAGCATGTAGACGCCCAGTTTATGATAAATATATGCATCTGCAATTTGCTTGCTGTTCACAGAGAACCTTTAGAAGATAGCCAGGAAACTGGTAGAGTGGTTGCTTCTGACAGAAGAGGGGTGAAAGGAAATTTGTTTTTCACTTTGCCTGATGTGGATTGCAAATTTTATATGTACATGTAACACATTCAGAAAAACAGATTGTTTTTGCTGCTGTCTCCTTCTCACACATATAGGGTCTCTGAGTATCCCATAATTGGCAAATTTGTCTTTATTGTCCTCTAGCAGCCTCTAAATCTACCCCATGGAGCTAAAGCCAGACTCTGCTTCCATGATCTTGAGCAAAGTAGTTAGGTCACTCTTCTGCCAGTGACCTTAGTAATTGAGTTTAGACCACAAGAGAATCTGAACACATTTTTTAAAATGCAAAATCCCTGTGCCCTTTTTAGTTCCTCTCCTCCCAGAAGGCAGGGAGACTGGAAAGGCAAGTGTTCCATTTGTCTTTAGTCAGATTTACAAGGGCTGTAACCTGGTTGTCAAACAGGAAGGAGAGGGAACTTTGGGAGACTCGAACTGAATTGCAAAGAGGGAAATAAGTCCAGTCTAATATGTGCCCCAGATCTGTGACAAGCAGACTTCAAGAAGAGAGATCTTATCTCAATGGCTTAAGCATCATGAGTGTTGGGGGGCCCTCAAAAAACAAACAACTCCACAACAATATGACCAAAAGTAAGGCAGAAAGAACCATTTGAAAGAAACCAAGCCACCTGCAAATGATGGAAGAGGGGCACACAGGCCGGAGGAGAGGTGTGGTCACATGTCAAGGACATCAGCAACAAGGCTGAATGAAAGCCAGGTGTGCAAAATTTGTATGGACGATTTGTACTGATGTTTTAGTAGGCACATTCAGAGCAAAAAAGGCTTGAATTCAATGGCATTATTTTTTCAGCTAATACAAAAGAGACCCAAACCAGAATTCAGTGATGACTTCATCCAGATAATTCATTTTAGTATGATACGCCTCAGGCAGGGTCAAGGATTAAACACCTTGTCTCCTTCTGGGTCTACTCTCCACTTTGTCTCCTTAAAAGCCTTGACACTAGCCAGGTTGGTGGTGCACCCCTGAAATCTCAGCACTCTGGCAGTCTGAGGCAGGAGGATCCTGAATTTGAGCACAATCTAGGCAACCCAGTGACTTAGTGAGAACCTGTCTCAAAATTTAAAAAAAAAAAAAAAAACATTGGAAAATGTTGTAAGTGTAGTTCAGTGCCAAGGCCCTACGTTCACTCCCCAGTATGAAGCAGGGCTCTGGAGCAGACCAGGGCAATGCAGTCACAATCCTTCCCCGCTCAGGAGCTGTGTGACTCTGGACAAGTCACTTAACCTTTCCATGCTCCAGCTTTCTCATCTGTAGAGTGAGGACAACATCTACCTCCTATGGCTGTTATGGGAATTAAAAAGCCCTTCAAAGAGGGTCCCGGATGGAGCAGAGGTTGCATGTGTGCTAGCCATAATATTGATTATTGTTACTTCCAATGTCCGCATCTATCAGAGGGAATTTTTAAGTGGGAAACAGCCGCACCACCATGGGAGAAAACCGTATGCCAACACTTGCGAGGTCCTGGGTGCCATATGCGGTCCCCTCATACAGAGAGCGTCCAACATACTGGGCGGGTGGCAGTGGGAGCTCCTTGGTACAGGTGAATGCAAATCGAGGTGACCATGGATACTGAAGGCAGGTTCTTGTGAGGAGTGGAGGCAGCGCTGAGATGACCTCCAGCGGCCCTGATAACTCTGAGGAGCTCTAACTCTATTCTTCTATACCAGCAGCCCCGGGACGGTCATGTTGCCTGGTTTCCTTCCTGGCTTCACCCTGGAGGCACAGTCTAGTCTTTTGCGCACCAGTGTGTGTAAAGGGACCAGCTCTGGTGTCACAGCCAAGACTTCTACTCAAGTTGGGGTGGACCCGGATATGGCAACGTGCAAGAGACAGTTTTCTCAACGTGCCAAGACTGGATGCATTACAAGCCTTCCAGCCAGGGGCGTGGGGAGAACAGATCAGTCAGCACCGTCCCCTGCCGCTGTCACAAAGGCAGATTGACGAGGCAGGGTCAGGACAAGCCCGGCCTGGCCGAGTCGCAGGGCGGGACCGCACGCGGCGCTTGGCTGGCGAAGGCAGCGCTCTCCACGGGGCACTTCCAGGTCCTTTGATCTTTCCCCGGGAGCTGGGAAGGACTACGCTTCCCTTTTACTTTATTCGTCTTGGTTTATTTATCGTATCCGCTCTCTCCTCTTGCTGGCTTGGAGGTCAGAGCGCCGGTGCGCGAAGGAATCAGTGTCCCGGGTCTCCCTCCGGCAGAGCTGCGGAACCCGCCAGGGGCGCGCGTTCCCAAGTCCCGGAGCAACGAAGCCAGGGGAGCGAGAGTCTTCCCCGGCCTGGAAATCCAGCCCGGAACCCGGGTCCCGGGGTCGCCCCGCTTCAGCCTCCTTCCTCTCCCAGACGCCAGGGTACTCGGGGGTTCCGTGGCACGCGCCCCTCCACACTCAGGTTACATTCCTCTGAGGGGGCCACACGGGGACCCCGCTCTCCCACGCCGGGCCCCCTAATCTCCACCCAGCCTTGCCGTCGGAGTGGCCCAGCCTTAGCTCTCCATCTGCGCTCCTTAAATCCCATTTATCTTCTTAGCGCCCCGACCCGGCCCGCCCCCACCCCGGCGCAGATCGCAGCCCCACGCCGCCCCCGCGTGCCCGGGTGCAACCCTGGAGGTGCTGAAGAAGTCTCTAAAGTAGGCGGAAGCGACCTCGCGGGGCGCGGCCAAAAGAAGGTCCAGCCGGGGAGGAGAGGTGTCCCAAGAGCTCAGGGTCAGGACCGCCGCAGAGGGTCCAGACTGCGAGCACCGAAGTCCGGCCTTCGGGTTTCTAGTGGTTGAAGTTGGCCGTTCCCAGGCTCGCAATCTAGGTCACCGGCTGGGAAGGGCTGAGCTGAGGGTCTCTGGACGTGCAGAGGGGCGGGCTGACTGCTTCCGAGGTGGGCGAGAGGTGAACGGTTTCAGGCCTGCCCCTCTCGCTTCCACTGGACTGTAATTCCATCCCCGGGCGGGTCGAGCCGCCCTCGCTGCGCCGCCTGGCCGTCCCTCCCCTCGGCCTCCGCCCCCTCCCGCAAAGCCCTGCCGCGCGAAGCCGGCTTCACTCCTGCACCCGACCTCCCTCCCGGCTGCTGGCTCCGGGTGGCTTATAGTCCAGCCCCCTCTGCCGCCCACGTCCTCGCCCACGCCCGGGGATCCGCAGGTCCGCGTCCCTCACGTCCCCCCGGACACCCCCTCCCCTAGTGCGCCGGGGACTTGGAGAAACTTTGCAGGCGGTGAAATGGATTTAATCCGAGGCGTCTCGCTCCGGCTCTTGTTCCTGGCTTCCAGCCTCCGTCCTGGCGCAGCGCCGTTCCCAGCCGCTCTCCGAATGCCAGGTAAGGCACTCGGTCTGTCCTGAGGCACCACGCCCGGAGCGCCCCAGTCCTGCTCCTCAGCGAGGACGCAAGACGCACAGCGCACCACCTCTCTGTCCCCTAACCAGCGCTGGTTTAACTGGCTTCAGCTCTGCCCACAGCTCAGCAGAGACTAGAACTTCTCCCGCCCCCAGCCTAGAGGTTCTGGGGATATTTGTTTGTTAAAAGCAGTGATCTGTTTTCCAGACCTGGAGAGGTGGTGGGCTCTGCTTACGACCACAGAAAGCTAAGAGTTGGGGCAGGGATCGCGCTGTCTCAATTACAGAGGACTGTGACTGCGCGCAGGAGTGCGATAGCTCCTCCGGGGTCTCTAACCGTCTTATTGAATTCATATTGCCTAGAGCCCAGCCATTTCCTGTGAATTGTCTGGAGGTTGCCTGGAGTCCCCCAGGGCCCACGCACTCCCTAGGGACGTGGGCTGTACGGCTCCTCTTCCAGCCTGAGGCTCTCAAGACTGAAAGAGAACCCACTGGGTTATTTTGATTCTGTTTTGAACTTCTGCCTTTGCTCAGCTGTTTAAACAAAAATGTGTGCACTGTAGGCTATTACAAAGGATCGGAGAAGACCTGAGCCCGCACCAACTTGCATTGCCTCTAGTTCTATAGGTAATAAGTCCCTGCATTTCTATATGTTTTGATTCAGCCTGTGTTATGAGATTATTCAAACTAGAACATTCTAAACAATAAAGTTCTAAGCATTGTTGCTAAATAACGATTTTTATTCTTCTGTGCTAGGACCATATTTAGAGTTCTGAAAAAAAATCTGCTTTTTCTTAGTTTAGTTTGTAAGCGAGGTTGTCTTATGGGATTAATTATATCTTATGAACAATGGAAAACAATAAAACTATTTGGATGCAGTCTGCGAAACCTTACATGAAGCGTAGTTCATCTTCACAAATGTTTCTATAAGAAAGCAGCAAGCATCAGAGGGCAAAGAAAAGAATCTTGGCAGGTTCCCATTGTCTGCTTAAATATTTTCACTTCTTCCCAGTTTCCACATTATAAAATTACTGGAAAAATTAAAAAATATATTTTCACTATCTAAATAGTTAGCTGGAACCATGACTTGTTGCCATTCAGCCCTGGGAGAAATCCTCAGTCTCCAGGTTGTATCTTTGCAGTTGTTACCTGATATGCAGCACACTTAAATTAGCAACTACGCCCTTTCCACACCATTCAATTCATTTTGGAGGTAACAGGAACAGCTTAAGGTAGTATTTTATTAAATTGTCTCCCTTCCTGCATGCCCACATACATACTTTCAAGATTTCAACAAAGGGCTTTATTTGAACTTTACTGCTTAAGAGAACCACATTGTGATCAAATGCATTCTGCAAGTTTCATCACTTAAAACCATCCAGTCACAAGTTTTGAACAATGCATAAATGTATCTATCATTCTTAAGCCTAAACAGTGTGTGCAGTGTCTTTAAAGGATGGATTTCAACTCATCTCACCAGAATTTTTAAGTATTTTGCAAAAGGCTGCAGTATAAGATTGCTCTTATGGTTCACCTTACTTCCTTATTTATTTTGCAGTTCCTCTCTTAAACATATTCTCTACTCAGTTCATTCAGGGACTCATTCTTAAATTCATGCCATGACTATGTCATGTTGGCCTCTGATTTTATTTAAGGCACAGATAGAGTTTTGATAGTGGCAGCTCTACATTTTAAATATTTTTGGCATATTAAATATATCACACTCAAGGTAGAGGGTACATTTAGACTACATTCAGCCAAGAAGAGATTTTTATTACTCTATAATTTTATCCAGACACTGGATTTCAAGTTGGAAAGCAGCTCATATTAAAATGACAGCTACTTCATAAACTTCAAGGGAAATTTCCCTCCTGGGTTCATTTACATCCCTTGGAATGACTAGTTTTTGATCCGGAAAATTGGTCCAGATTAAAAACTGAATGTGCCCTGCTTAGCTCTGATGCGAACAGCAATGAGCTACTTTATAATCTTCCCCAGACACCAGCGAATCCTGCTAGTATCCATATGGGAGCATCTTTGTACCTTGTTTTCTCCATAGAAATTAGTTTGTATGCAGCACTTGGTATATAGCATGGCCTGTTACAAGCTTCCAGAGCAATCCCGTTTTGTTAGGATAGCCCTCCCTGTCTCCTCATGCCCCTACATCTACTTCTGGTAAGTACAGTGTTGTTGAGGTCTTGGATTCAAATCAACCTGAAAATTCCCCATCCCACCTACCTCTCATGAGAAAAAAACAAAACATCAGGTAACACTTGAAATATAAGTACCCTTCTCCCACCCCAAGAGAGCTCATTTTCTGGTACTGAGGAGTAAAGAAACATTCTGCGTTTACTAAGACTCGTAAGAAATGGCAGTTTTCAAATGAAATAAAAATAAATGATAATAACTGTCACTAAGTAAGAGGTTGCTACACTATCCTGAGAACTTGACTCCTACTGATTTCTTTAATCAGCACCAATACCCCCGTGAGAAAATAGGTACTATTATTATCCCTGTTCTGTGAAGGGCATATTGTGGCTTAGAGAGATTAAATGTCTCACCCAAGGCCTCACTAGTGAGAAGGGGAATGAGAAATTAGGCTCTGATATTCAGGACTGGGACTGAGTCAGTAGCAGCCCTGTTCACAGAGGTATGTAGGATGTCTTCCTCCAGGCTAAGGAGGTTCAGAGCTGCAGGCCTGGTAAAGGGATACCCCTGCTGTGCGTAGGAGCCTGTGTTACTCACAGGATATGCCTAGACCTCCAAACAGAGGTGTGTGAGTGGTACCGAATGGGGTTGGAAGTTACTATGCATTAACCTCATCCGTAACAACCAGCAGCGTTGCCTTCTAGAGTAATGATGAGCTACTTGCTTTCTCTTAACTTGCGAGGGCCAGAAAGTCCGCTAGAAATCTCAGAAGTAGAAATAGCTGCCTCTGAAGAATATTGGGAGGGCAGAGGGCGTACAAGTCTATAGCACCTTCATGGTACCATTTCACTAAGTCTCCATGTGTGGAAACACAATCTGTGGGAAAGGCTTATTCTCTTCCCCTTTGTAGAAAATCTGTTCCCTCCCAGCTACTGGTAACCAGTGATCTGATTTTAGCCTGTGTTATTTTGCCCCTTTCTGTTCCCTTTTATCACTTAGTGCAACATTACATTGTTATAATCTTAGTAGTTTCTTTTTTACTGCTCAGTAGCACTCCATTGCATAGATCACAGATCACCACCTCGTGTTCTATCAGCTTTGAGGTGAAACTGTTTGCAGTTTGAGGCTATTATGAAACTGTCTTTGGGTGGATATGATTTCATTTCTCTTGGTAAGTGGTAGGAGTGAGATTGCTATATTGCATATGTGGAACTTTATAAGACATCAAACTGTTTTCTAGAGTGGTTGTACCATTTTATGTTCCTATGGAAATATTTGAAAGTTCTGGTTGTTCCAAATCCTCTATGGAATTTGGTGTAGCTGAGTTTTTTTGTTCTTGTTAGGTGTGTTTTATCAGTGTTTTAATTTCCATTTCTTTAATGATTAATGATATCAAACACTTTTTCATGTATATATGTGCTATGTGAATCTTTTCTTTGTTGTTGAAATGATTGTGCAAATCTTTTGCTGATTTTTTAAAAATTGTACTGTTTTCTTATTATTGAGTTTTGAGTGTTTTTTGTGTATTGTGAATGCAGGGACTTTATCAGATATTTGTTTTGATAAAGCCTGTTTATCACTTTTTAATCACTCATGCTTTTTAAAAAAGTTTAATTCGTGCTTACAAAGATGTTCCCCTATGTTTTATTCTAGAAGATTTACAGGTGTTTATTTTAGGTCTATGATTTATGGTGGATTTTTTCTGCGCGGGGTATGACATATAAGTCAAGGTTTACCTCCTTAGGTATGGATGAATTGGCTTCATTTGCTAAACTCTCATAGTTGTGGGGAGAGGTACAGAGAAGCTGGCAGTCACTCTGTCCACACTGGCTGGTAGCATTCAGGCCCGCTCCTGTCTTCACACAGTAGGTGGTGTAGACAGGTATGTTTTCTCTCTACAAGGTTCCACACTGTAGTTGTTTAGGCTGATCCTGCTAGGCATGCCTGAGGATGCTTCCAAGCACTGAGGCTAAGGGTAGGGTACTGGGAGTTGGGGGCTTTCCAGTTTTAAGGCCAGCACTGCCCTCTAGTCCTGTAGCCTGTGTTGCACTTTATTTAGACAAAATCACAGCATCACTTACCACACTGCACAAGTAAGGGTCTGAAGAATGCATGTAGGTCCTCCCTTTCTTCCTGTCTGCCCAGCTTTCCAGGGGCCCCAAGATCAATGGGTCAACTCAGGTTCAGAGTTCAAGATTTTCACTGGAAGATTTAGGAGCTATACATTCATCCTGAGGAAGATACGCCCCTTTAATCTTTTTCTTTCCAGTTTTCCAGCATTTCTCTAGCCACATAATTGGATTAAAAATGAAGATCTAGAGAAACTCTGAAAGCAAAAACAAATGGCTAGAGTTAGCTTGTGGGCAGTGTACCCTGTTGGTTGATGGTGGCAAATACATGCACTTCTAGGTTGTTTCTGCAGCTGCTGATGTAAGGTTGAATGTAAAGGGTCAGGGGCCAAGGGTCAGAGGTCATCCTGGTCTACTTCTGCAAATGTTACCCTGATCAACATGTGCTATGGTTTGTGTCTGGATGTCCCCCCAAAGCTGCATTGGTCATGGGGGTGGGCAGGCTTTTCAGAGGTGTGTGAATCTAGAGTTTGTGACTGATTCATGGTCTAAGGCTGGGATGAAGGGTGTGAGTGCTACACTCGGCCTAGGGCAGGTAACATGCATGCAATATAAGGAACAGAGATCCTTGGTCTCCCCTCTCTCTTGTTGTTTTGGCTGTCTTCCACTGCCACGAAGGGCTGCCCCTCTGCCACACCACCCTGCCGTGGAGCTAGCTGATTATGGACTGAAACCTATACAAAGTGTGAGCTAAGTAAACTTTTCC